ATACACGGTATTTTTGGCTAGACTGAGCAGGGGCATATGTGGACCAGCTGCAAAAGCAGACATCTGTCTGCTCTCAGAGATTGGTGTAGGAACAAAAATGCATCTCTCAGCGATGACAGCTAACTTGCTCCTAGCATCTACCAGGTTAGCGGAGTTTCCCTACCTGTGGCACGCAGGGCTGCTGCATTTACTTTGCTTCAAATAAAAACAATGCAGAGTGTCCTCCTTATCACCCTGTGCTCAGGAGAGTAGTTGAGGGAGTTACTGAGGTACATAGAAGATCTGAAAACTATCTTAAAAGGAGACAATCTTCATATCCAAGCTCTAGCCTTGATATAAAAACCTTCAAGTCCTTTTCTTTTTCCTTGGGAGTCTTATTCCCTTCCCTGTTCTTATCTGCTCCCCCTTTCCTTTCAGTGTGAGAGCTAGCAATCTCCAACGACCCTTTTGTTTTTCAGAAACAGCAAAAGGATTACAAAAAGCATAGCAAGCTCACAACTCAATACACAGTATTTTATGAACAGGAGCAGCTTTCACTGCCGATCACCCTCAGCATTACTTTTAGACAGAATCCAGAATGCTGCTGGTGCACTTTCTACATAGATGCTGCTGTACTAAGTATGGTGCAGAGAGGTCTTATTAGCATTATACAGGGTAGAAGTCACCCAATTTTGCATATATATATATATGTAAAACTTCTAATTAATAGTAAGTTTTTGCATACCATAAAATTTTAGAATCAGATTAAAGCTATCGACCAAACAAAACTTGAATCTTTGATATGGAGTACACTTTCATTTTTATAATTTCCTTTTACTATGAAATTGGTGCTCAAAAGTTCCTTTCTCCATCCTTGAAAAAACAATTTACTATGAAAAACATACTTATTGAAGGTTGCCAAAAGTGTAATAACCACACATCTGTTATTCTTCAAATATATATTTTCTAAAACATTTGATATTTACTTCACATGTACTAACAGTTATTAAATCTTTCTTAAGTCTGCTTTGTGGAACCATAACATAAAGCATTACACGCATAGGAGAAGCACCATGGGAACAAATGTAGAAAGGGAGTAGAAGAGTTAGTAGCTGAGCAACTTACTAGTCACATTACAAACTACAACCCAGAGAAGCATAGTAAGAGGAGTACTGGAAGTCTGGAAACCATGAGTTTTAAGAGGTCCAACATCATTCTTTTAAAGTTTTAAATCTGTTAGATAATTTATAGATCAACAAATATGTAAAAACAGAAGACATTCCTGTAATCTACACTACTGAATCTAATGGACAAGGACATAAACTTCATCTAGTAGCTCAAATTTGAGAAAATAAGGTGTTTAAAAAAGCCTTCTTTAGGTTTAAATTTTCCAGTGTGGCAACATTTCCCCAGGGCTGGTGGTGGCTCTTTGCAGGCTCTGCACTGCAAGCCTCACCCTGGCCCATGAGCTGGAAAGACACTACTGACTGCATGACAGGAGAAGACCAACTCTCTGACTGAACTGACCCTCTTTCCTTTTGAATTTTAACAGGCTTTGTGCATTAAGCTCTCTTTAATTGCCAGAGTAGCCAGGAAACAAGCATAGTCACAGTTAATTGTTCATAACTATTCCACTTGAGAATTCAAATGAGCCTCCCAGCAACAGGACACAAAGAAATGGCCTCAAGCTGTGCCATGGGAAGTTCAAGTTGGACATCAGGAAGAATTTTTTCACAGAAAGGGTGGTTAAGCATTGGAACAACTGCCCAGGGAAGCAGTGGAGTCACCATCCCTGGAAGTGTTCAATAAACAGCTGTTAGTTGATGAACAGATGTGGCACTTAATGCTATGACTTAGTTGACAAGGTGGTGTTTGCTTAAAGAATGGACTCTATGATATAGGAGGTTTTTTCCAACATTATTGATTCCATGATCCTATGATTTTCACTGGGTCCTGAGTAGGACTGAAAAAATCTTAAGACATTGAGATGAACAATGCCTTCTAAAACAAGTTTTTAGTATATTTGGAACAAAGTACAAGAGACCTGACTGCTTTCCAGACATTTTTATGAATACGTGGGTACCATGGTAATATGCACCAATAATAAACAGTAATCCCCACATTAACAGTTGCAAAAAAGTCATCCTATTTATCCATAAGTCTAATTACTTTGGCTTACTGAAGATTTTTTTTAAAACCATTAAGGTGACAACTTGCTTCACATGAAAATATCACACGTGCCCAGCTTTTTAAACCGTGTTTCTTATATGACAGCACAATGCAATACAATATTTTTCCTAAATCTCAAAATTGCTCCTTAATGTTCTTCAGAAAATACAGTCAGGAACTGAAGTCTAGATCATGCTGGACAAAGGTGGTGACTAACAGAGTATGTTACAGTTAGCTTATTTGTAATGTCTCAAAAGACAATCAATAACAAAAAGACCTTCATTTATATCTATCAAACTCACATATACTCCTTTTAATTGAAAAGCTCTTAACTCCAGTCATTTCCTGGGTATAAAGCTACCTTACTCAAGCTCCAGCATTTTTAATTTCCCATGCATTGAAAAGCAGCATCCTCAGCTCACAAGTAATGCTTACATAAAACTTTGCAGTCAGATCTCTTGGTGCCTCATTGTGTTTCAGGATATGAAGACAACACTAATGTAAACACTCTACTACTGCAGAATAAACACCATGTAGCCACAAAGCAGTGATGACATCACCTGTAAATTATATGGGATTAATTTTCTGCAATGTAAACTGACTGTCTATGTCTCCTGTTCCTCAATGCACTCTAAAACAGTTTGTTGAGAACAATTAATATCTTCCAGTTTTAAAGCAAAGATAATTCCTCCTTAGGGTATTACTTCATGTCTCACCTTTTGTGTATCTAAAAATCTTGCTTCCTCCCTCCTGGGTGAGAATGTCCTTGCTCAAACAACACATTTAAATGTTATTGATATTTCACAGCTGACTTAGATGTGCCTAAGTCAAAAGCTTGCAGAGAATAGAATTTTAAATAGCCAGACATGCTTCTGCTGCTTCTTTGAATATAAATAACACAAGAACAGCTGTATTGGATCAGAGCTAACATAGATGTAGCCCACTAACATGGGATTCCTACAGAAGAGAATAAGATAGAAAGGATGTAGTGATACATCTCAGAATAGGCTTTCCACTTTAAAGATCTGCAGACCTGAGATTTCTACTTCTGTGACTGCAAGTTAAGTGTGATTCCAGCATCCAGGTATTACATATAGGAATGTGTTTTCTTTGGAAACTATTCTTTAAGATAAAAAAATACTGATCTTAAGCAATAACATATGATATGAAGCAAATATTGCTATAAAGGAGTTAACACTGAACTTCACATATATGTTTCACATTAACCTTTTATTCAACCAGTTTGACAAGTTGTGGAAGCCCCACACCTTATGATATAGGCCAGGCTGCATGGGGCTCTAAACAACCCATGGCAGGAGCTTAGAAACTGGATGACCTTTCAGGTACCTTCCAACACAAACCATTCTATGATTCTATGATATATTCCTGTAATAAAAATATTGTGTTAAAAATACATGTAGGACAATGGATATTACTATTTTTAAAATCCCAAATCCTAATTGTTGTATCTGTATGAAAGGCTTTATCTTCCTTTATTTTTTCTCCTTGCCAGTTCTCTGAAAAAGCTGATAAGAGAACATATTTGATTCTATTACTATGGCAATAAAAGTACATTCAAATCTTCACCTCATCTGTGCTAACTAATGTGCTGCTTCAAATAAAGTTACCCCAGAGTGATAGTCAGTCTCTCAAGGTGCAGAAGTGCCATTCAAAAGCCTTTCTGCTTTTCAAACTAGAGTGTCAATAATGGGATCTGCACAGAAATCGCTTCTACATATTTGCCTCCTCTCGGGAAGGCTTCTCAGCTATAATTTAATCTATCAATAATTCTCCATCTTTCATGTGGTACATACCTTGCATATACACAGCTAGCATGGATTCTTCTTGTTTTGAAACATCTCAGAAGTTGGAAATTGCTACCACAAAACTTCTAATGAACTCAGCTAAAAGGACTCTGACCCTTATCCATTCTCACTTTCAAATCACAGACACAGAGTATCAATTCATTCTAGAACTTCTCAAAACCTTTTATTTTTTTTCATTCTGGTGGAGATAAGCAGCACCAACAGGTGTAAATTCACAATTTGGGTGATGAAAGGATCAATAATTTATTGTAGTGTCCTGTGGTACCATGCTGAATAAAATGCTCATCAGGAACCAAAGTGGATGCAACTTGGGAAATAAAAACAGCCTATTAAAAAAAAACAAACTTTTGAGGACATCAAACTCAGCAACTGAGCATTTAATTTTCAACAATATCCAGAACTTCAAGTGGAGAGAAGATCTTCTGTTTACCATTTGTAGAAAAATAATGACATTGAGCATCTGAATCCTTCTTTAGATCACTCTTTACTGGTCTTGGCCTTGTTTAATTTACAAGAGAAATAAGTGTTTCTGGTATGATGACCTTGTGTCTAAGTTTGTCTGCGAGAAGTTTTTGCACTTGACAAATGCTGCATATTGAATTTTCCTGTGGTGCTGGTCTCTGCCAACTTTGCTCCTCTTCCTACTTCATTTATTTTTGTCAACTCATATGTCAGAGTTTAGAAATTTCATGGAAAAAATATGAGTGAGAGCAATATTTTCATTCATAAGTAAGATTTGTGGCAAAAGGTGTGTCCCTTTTTTAATACCAACATGCTGTATAATCACTAGCAAACAACATGATGAACCAAGTTCATATAATGAATAAATTGCTTCAGATTTACTTGGGAAAGAGAAGAGGACACAAGCAGAAAAGATGAACAGTGCATGACACTGCATGACTTCCACTCTAAATCTGAGGTCATTGATACATTCAATCAACTAAAATAAATATCTGTACAAATTTGCCTCTGCAGTTTTTCTTCCTTACCTTTTTGCACTAGTAAGAAAATAAATTTATGGCTTACCTTTCAAAACCAATCTGCCGTAATGTTTTCTCCCATGTTGAACCTGCACAAAGAGGAGAAAAAACAAACACGCTCAGTGAAAAACCCTTTTTTTTTTGTATGAACACTTTTTCCTTTCCTTGTGCAGCTGGGATATGTATATTAAGGAGATTTTTCCACCCCTAGAGAAGCACCTGTAAATAACACGTTTTCCCCAGAGTGGAGAGATGTTGAGAGAGGCTACCATGGGGTGACGTAAGAGTGAGAGGGGTATCAGCCTATACAACTTTACATTGCAGAGAAGCTACAGTTCACTGCAATTCCAAGGGTGGTCTCCTCTGCTAGAGCAATGTGATCTGGAAGTGCTGAGCTGGCATCTCACATCACGCACTCTTCACATTTCAGCTTTTCACTTTACTGTAGTGTTCGCCTGATTCTTGCTGAAAGCTTTACAGCTCCTTCTGAAATCCAGCCCTTTTATTTTTAAGCAAAAGCATGAACATGTATTCCTTCTTTATTGTTTAACCCTTCATATTCATACAAGCAGGCAAAGGGCTCAGCCCCACAAACCACTCAAATGTGCAGACTCATCTATTGCTTTCAATATTTCTGATGCACTTCATACAAATTTTAGAGAGATTTTCTCCAAAATAACCCCCAGACACACTTTGAGAACTAGGCATTCAGTTTTCAGCTCTTGGTAGTTCTCTTATCTTTTTACCAGTCCCTTTTTTTTTTTTTTTTTTTTTTTTTTTTTTTTTTTTTTTTTTTCCTACTATTATGAGGTCATTATAAACACAGGCTACTAAGAGCACAAATATCTCAAGTCACGAAGGTCTTCTCAGCAAATGTGTAGGAGGATGTGAAGCTGCATCATAGTTTGCTCTCTGTCCTTTTATACTGCTGTGGGAAATGCAACAGGACTGCATGCCATGTAAACAACTACAGTTCTTTTTTAATTATTCATCTCAATCATTCATGGAATTCTCAAAATCAGAGAAGAGACAATAATTGCTGTTCCTGGTGCATTTCATCACCTAAAGGGAAATATAAATTAAGAACAAAAAGATTCCCTGTGACTGACATTAAGCAGCACTTTTAATTTCCCCCATTCAGCGCAAAGCAGGCAGGCAGGGATTTCATGCCCGTATCTAGCAAAACACAAAGCAGAAAGAGACTTCAAAAGCAAGGTGGAGAAAGCTCTACCTTCACTATGTGGGAAAAAATAGAAGTTAAATTCCGTTCTGTAATAAATGAGCAATGTTGATTGATGAGTAGCAAGAGCTTCTACTGTGGCACCTGTATTTGCCTGAGGTGGGGCAAGACTTCTGCCTGCACAGCTACATAAGACAATACACTCATCACACAGAGTTAATATTTTATGAAAATATGTTCTCTAAAGACACCACTAAAGCAGGACAAGAAATACTCTCACATATTTCTTTCAAATAAATGTGAAAAACAAAAATAATGTCTAGCACAATGAACCATAAATTACTGAGAAAAATAAAGACCCACCCCATTAATGTATCCCCCAAAACCATTATTTCTGCTCATCTCTGAAGTGTAACTGGTTTCATACAGCACCTATGAATCAAGTCATTGTTAAAGAGGTGACTCTACCACTCTACAGGTGACAGGGCAGACACAAGCAATTCTCCATATATTTTATGAAATCTTGCTGGCTTTGGAAGAGTAGCAAACTCTGAAGATTTGTAGTGTTGAAGAAAAGAAATCTCAACAGCACCTCCTAAAGCAAAGACCAGTACTTGCATTTTTAGTCTGAGTGTCTATGCCTTCCACTGTTAGGTATAATTGTGTATGAATTTTTCACCTCATGGTTGGCTACACTGCATTCATAATATATAGATAGAGTCCTACTGGAGAGAGAGGGTGGGGAGAGAAAGAGAGAGAAAGGAAAAAAGCTGTAGAGAAAAGAGAATTGGGTCTCCATTGGTTTGAAATAATCTTTTGGCTGCAGCTGGCCACCAGAATAATCTTTGAAATGCATCTGACTCCTCTGAAGTAATGCCTGCCAAGAACACAACTAACATTTCATATTAAAAACCAAATCTTTTTTATGGAGTCTTATTTTAAAATGTTTATGATCTAAACATTGTGTTTTAAGACTTGCCAATTCCATTCACAATAGTATCAACTTCTACACTACACTAAGAGCCAAAAGTAAATACCCTGAGGTAACAGAAGCACTAAAAAGAATAGCGCTTTTAAAAGTCTAGAAAACCTACTATTTGATTGAAACCTTACCCATTGCTTCCAAAACATAAAACAGGTTTTAAGTCACGTAATTCTCATTAAAATAAAAAAAGGAGTTAATCAAGAATTAAAGACTTGATCCTGCTCCCAAGGAAATCAACAGGAATTTGGCTATTCAATTCAGTCTTTCTCTCTGCTAAGACTGGGGAAAATATTCGCCCCTTGACTTTCAGAATCAATCAACTACTAAACTACTACACTTGAGTTACTAAGTTAAGGTGGCTTCCCTTTGCTTCTTTTTTTTTTTTTTAACACTATAACTGTTTAAAATAATGCCTTAAAATCTGATACCATGTAATTAAGATTTTTTTCCAAATATTTTCTCCAGAGTACCTGACCATCCTCATTTATTCCAAAAATTTTGTTTCACATTAACATCTCTAGCTTTAATATTCTTCAAAGAGATGAAGCATAATGCACTTCCCGAATTTCTGCTCACATTTAATAGGAGCAATAGCAACATGCATACCATGTTCATGTATGCACTCAATGAAACCCTAGCATATGAATGAGTATAAAAATATGATATTTAATAAGATAAAATCCAGAACATCTTCCTTAAGTGAAAAGTTGCCTTCTTTGACAGGTAGGCTTTCATTCACAAGGCAGTTGCCATATTTAGTTTGGCTTGATTACAACTTTCTGCTTACTATGAACTTCCTATGGATAGAGGATTCACACACCACTGCTAGGTTGTTCACCTTTACAAAACATGAAGGTGCCTTGCTGCTGAAGTGCACTGGTGGGCATAGGGAAAACACACAATAACATATCCACAGGACCAAAGAGTCATGGAATACCAGGTCAGAAAGGACTTCATCTGGTCCAACCTTGGAAAAAAGCATAGGCTAGACAAGATGTCCCAGCATCCTGTCTAGCTGGGTGCTGAAAGGGATCAGTATTGGGGAAGAATACTGGGTAAATGATTTTCATCCTTTTATGGAGGTTGCACAGCTATTCACCTTGAGCCATATCATGCCTTATCTGCCATTGCTGCAGAGATCTGTAGCTGTTGAGGGACAAGTCTGGCATGCATTGTAATTGAAACTCATACCTCCTTTGCCATTCCCATGCACATGTGCATGAAAGTCCCTGCAGATCCTGTGGTCCCCATGACTATGTGCAGTGATTACCAACAGCTTGCTGCCTTCTCATTTCTCCAGAGTTTGTGGCTACTTTAAGAACTACATGCCTGTACCTGACTGTGCTCTTGAGGATTTCTAACAGTAAGAATAATAATTCTTGCTTTTTTTTTTCTCACTGTGATCTGACATAAGGACAAGAGAGGAAAAATAGGGCTTAACTGAACCAAAAGACACTGTTTGACATTTTTCAGTAAACATTAAGTGAGTCTGTCAAAATTCAATTATACAATCAGAATTATATGAGGATCTCCAAAGACTGGAATAGGAAAAAGCATCTGTTAATGCCATAAATCCAAAGTTAAAAAGGTTTTTTTTTGAACCTGTCCTTTGGGTGTCACAGAGTCACCCAGACTCTCTGAAGGAATAAGCAAGTACCAGACATACCCCATCACACTTAGCCCATGAGTAACATGCAGGTGTGATGAGCATAAACCGTTTATGATACTTCAGAAACAGGCAGATATTCTTGCAAGTAACTTCAGTGATCTTTATCCTAACATTTTGAAGGAAAAGAATTTTGGAAGAACAGCTGAATTTGTAATGATTAAAATATTCCTATCAATTTCAAAACTTTGATCTTAAGCCTCTGCCACTTACTGGTACATTCCAAACCATGGAAAAAAAAAAAAAAAAAAGGGAAAAAGCCCTTCCACATATTCAAGAGGCACAAAAGAGATACAGAATACTTCAGAAACTGAAATAAATGCTTTGCTAAACCTTTCCATTGCAGGTGCCACTTCTCTCAACTCTGCTTCTCAAAAAACACAGAACAGAGCAGAAGTTTGCAGAGTCCAGCCCCATCAGACTAGCTGGGGGACCTGAGCTTTTGCATGGACACCTTATGGCTCTCAAAAAGTTGAATTAACACATTGGCTTGTCTTGCTACATCTTCTTTTTCAGTAGATACATACAAGATAAGCCACTTGAGGGTCTGCAGTCTATTTTCAATGGATTGGGAAACTGCTGTGTATTCTGCTTCATCACCTCAGTACTCACTAACAAGTAACTAATGTGTTAAAATTACTAATGAGCTGAAATCTTCACATCTGATAAACACTGCCATATTTGGATCATATTTGTTTCAGCTGCTTAATTAATATTCATTATATCATTAATATTCAGCAGCTTCATTATTATTAACAGCCTTTACAGTTGCTTGTTCCTAGTAGCAAGCTTCTATCTCCTTCCAAACAAAAAGTAAAACAACTACATTTTTTCAGAAATCCTACTTTTTCTTTTTTTTTTTCTTTTTTTTTTCTTTTTTTTTTCTAATACACAGGTTGCATGAAACCAAACAATAGTTTGGACTAGAGAAATGTAGGTGGCATAGGGAAGAACTTTTTCTTACTTGCTGCACAGTACCATAGAGGTACCATTAATATTTGCTTACTCTTGGCCATCCAATAGTTACATGCAACGTGACTTATAGAAATAATAATTTCTCTCATGTGAAGGACATCAGACAATGCTACCTTTGCATTTAGCGTCCATCTGTCTATTTTGAGAAATAAACCTCTCTTACACTTCCTCTTCCTTTGATTCAAATTACTTAGCCTGCACCCTGCACTCATCACTTTGTAATTTTATTTCCAGTATCATCTGGGATAATGACAACACTTTATTTTAGCATGAGATCTCCTAG